CTTTGTATTCTTGACTTCTTCTCTGCTCCAAAAGTCTCTTAGAATGTGTTCTTCTGAGTGATGGACGACTCTAGGGTTTTAAAAGACACCCTAAAATTCGTTTCCATAAGAGTTGTATTGAAATAAGGAAATCAAATTTTTTCCTTCGAGAACGTACTATGCGACCGCATAGTACATTGCTATGCGACCGCATAGTTCAGCCGAACTCACTCTTGAGATTTGCTAAAGCCAACCATGCGACCACATAGTGTTTACACTATGCGACCGCATAGTTGAGCTTAAATTCCAACTAATGCGTTATAGTCCCTAAACTTCGTTCTCTCGTTGTTTGACCTCTTGTCGTGTTTCTTCTTCTCCCAACACTTCATTCCTTCACTCGATTGGTTCTTGACTCTTTCACATCCTTGTTTCTTCTTTCGGGGTCATCTTTCGACTATTTGCACTTTGGTCCCTCAACTTTGGTTTCCTTCTATTTTAGTCATTTTTCCGCTTCTTTTTCCTAAATTCCACCATGTTCATCAATGTTATCCTACAAAATACAACTTATATAGAATTAAATCACATTTTGATATAATTACCAACAATTATCCATGTTTGGTGGCCTAAATAAGTGTGTAAAATGCACTTATCAAATTCTTACTACCACCACCATTACCACCCCCTCTTCTTCCAACAAATTACCATTTTCAATTTCAAAACTACCACCACCTCACTACCACAACCACCAACAATCCACAATTTTCAACTACAAAACCACCATTGCCACAGACAGTTCCACCATCACATCTACCAACAAAAATCACCGCTACCACCAGATCTAACAAACCCCCATCAGATCCAACAAAACCCACCACCACTACCAGATCCACCACCTCCACGACAAACAAAAAACCATCGCCAAACCACAAGGCAACGCACAAACCTACCATCATTGCACTTTACCATCGCCGCTGTCACAACAGCAATTGCGAACCATCGACCACCACAAATCATTAGAGAAATACTGCAAATCGGAGAAAATTTTAGATCGCCGCTGTGTGCGGCAATCTGTGACCGACTCAACTAGAAAGTACAACATCCTAGTACAGATCACAGTATACGTGTTGCACAGCTGTTGTACTTCCGCGCGCAGATACTCCGATGCCTCCTTGCGCTGGAATGTACAATATCCTGGTACAGATCGTCTCAAGGCGCGGAGCGATGCTGCGCAACTGTTTCGCCTCCGTGCATAGAGGCTTTGATGCCGCACCTTAACACACTGTGTACCATGTTGCTTTGTGTGACGCCGCTTGTTGTGAGAGGGTAGAGAGAAATGTGAGGTGAAGAGAGAATGGAGGGGGCGACGAAGAAAGAGAATGGATTAGAAAATAATTAGGGTTTGGAATGGTAGATGGAGGTGGAGTGGATATGTAAAATAATTTAATTTTTGTAATATTATTATTAATGTTTATAATAATATACTTTTGTATATAAAAATTTTAAATTTGAATTTTGAAGTAGAATCTTAAAAATTCTGGTTGGTACTTGCTCAAACCTTGCTCTCTGTCTGATCTCTCCCTCCCTCGAATTTTGCAGACGAACTACCATCTATATTTGCCAATCACCACTGTAAACCGAAATCCGTTCACCTCTTCCAGCCACAACCCTGCATCCGAGCATTTGAGGTGAGCCGATTTTTATTTTTCGCTGCTTCCATTTTTTATTTTTTTTCCTAGCTAAGTAATGATGAGTTGATGATGAATCTTTACTATTGTTACTGCCTCCATATTTCGTTTTGATGATTTTTTTTAATGTACTTAATGTTGGAATTAATTGATAAAGTGTTAAATAATAAAATGTGATATTTAATTATGTGGGCCATTATATTTAATTTGGATGAATTGGAAAAGTCTCAAATATAAGCCCATAAGTTGATAAGCCTAAATTTTAAGGTCTTATATATGATAAGGAATCCCACATTGAAAGTTTA